TGGTCATAAGTCACTTTTTTCAGTGCATTGTAACTTCAAACGGGTCATTAAGTGAATTGTTGTAAGTCAAGGACCACCTGTATTGCAATGAATGACACAGTCCTCCGCCTTGCCCATGCGAACCTTCATTCCTTTAATGATTTCATTACTACTGCCCGAGTTCTGTGGGTATATGTGAAACCATATAAAGGGGTTATAACCAAATAAAATGTGCCATCATCACCCTCACCTCCAAAAGGCTGTCTATCGTTATTTATAAACAAAGGCTAGTAAGGTGTAATTTTTATATGGGGTTTATACAATGGTGAGATTCAATTTTTTTTACTACCAGTTCTGTGGGTGTGACATGGCTTGGTGGGTGTGGCTTAGTGGGCATGATAGGGGAAGGATACTGTAAAATCTCCTTTCCCTCCTCACTCCTGGGGGAAGGTTACCGCCAGTTCTCTGAACTACTCAAAATTTCCGCTACCGGTTCTCCAGAACTGGTCAGAACCTGCTGAATACCACCTCTGGGTTTATACATTAGATTAAGCTAATATCAAACAAACCACACTACAATTTAGCATGATATATAAATCCTGATAACATCTGTATCCAAAGGAATCATGATATACTCAGTTTTAGAAATCATTTGTGTGTTCAGTTTCTATACTACTGCCATTCACTAGGGGTTCCTGGTTGTTCATTAAAAATGAATATAAAATTAAAACATGGGATATATAATTTTAAAAAACATGAGGGAAAATGTAGGGAAAATATTGAAAATCTAAAGAGTTCTCTATTGTAGGTATCATATAAGAGAACTGGCAATAATTTAGAATATGTACATTTCACTGTATTTGAAAAGATTTTCAACGGTATTACATGCTGCTCAGATTTAAGATAAGCTGCACTGATTCCTTTAATTACTGCCTCCTGTTCTACTTACCCACTCAATTGTCCTATCCCTTAGCTCGATGTATCAACATAAACATTCCAGCCAACTTAATAAATAGGATTTCTGAGTGGCATGTTTTTACAACAGTACGATGCTCAGGAGATTATAGAGGTTGAAGTGATGCAATACTAAGTGGTTATGCCACAAGAAAGCCTACTAATAAATAGGTGGTGGGAAGAGCAATATTCAGCAGAAACTTTATTTAAAAATAAAGGGTTGTCGCGGCTGCCACAAGCTAACAGGACAGCCGGCTGACAGGCAACAGCTGATGCCATTTGACAGCTCCCTTTTATAGTCAGCTGTCAAACGGCATCAGCCAATAGGAGCGGTCCACGTTCCTGCTGAAAACGTGGACCTAAGTGAGAACTGCTCAGCAAAGTCTCAGAACGCAATACATACATATCTATTTCACCAGTAATATGCATTATTTTGACAATAGCCCAACAGCCCAGAAGACAATATCTTCTGTGATGACCATGCCCATTATTCAGCAAGCACCTGTGGGATATTCATATCCTGAAACAGATTTTTTTTTTAATCCTGAAATAGTAGCCCCTAAAAACAGAAGTTTAAATTAAGTTAAGAGAGAAAATATTTGTTGTTTTCAGGGTTAGAATCATAGGGCTGGAAGGACCTTAGAAGTCTTCTAATCCAATCACCTGCCCAAGGCAGGAGTTCTGGACAAATGAGCATCCAATCTTTTCTTTAAAACAACCAGCATGTTCCCACAACTCCAGCTGTTCCACTGACTAATTGTTCTGTCAGAAAGTTTCTTGTTAGTTCCAGATTAGAACTCCTTCAAACCATTGCTGCTTGTTCTGCCCTCGGGTACTTCGGACAACAAATCAACCCCCTATTCCCTGTGGCAGCCCTTCAAATATTGGAAGACATCTATCATGTCACAGTAAGCCTTCTCTTTATTAGGCTAAACACACCTAGTTCCCTTAGCAGTTCATCCTACAGTTTAGCCTCCAGATCATCTTTGTTGCTCTTCCCTGATTCTTTCAGCATCTTTTTTTCTCATGGTGACCAGAACTGGAAGCAGTATTCCAGGTGTAGTTTTGCTAGCACAGTGTAGATTGATGTTATCACTTCTTGTGTTCTTGATACCATCCTTCTGTTGATACAGCCCATGACTGCATTGGCTTAATTGGTTAACTGCATTGGTTAAATAACTAGCTGAATACAGAGTTAGTTCTAATTCAATCTAACCATATCTCAGTTCAGACTGAATTTCAATTAAATATCAAGAAAACCATATTATGGAGAAAAAGATAAGACACTGAACAAGCTCCACAGTAAAAGTAACTCTGATTCTTTATAATTCTTGGTGCCTGGGAGAATAGGGAGGAGGCCAATCCCAAGACGAAGGTAGTAGAACAGTATTCATAAACAACCTTGGGAATACTCACTTCAAAATAAGAAGCCTAATTGCTACTGTTTATGACACAATTAGCATATCAACAAGTTTAATCAGTGAAATACAGAACATGCATGAAGGAATCTATGATCCCTTAAGTAAGCCACCTTTCTATCAAAGGTTTTTAAAACCTTTTCCCACTCAGTTTCTTCATACAAGTAGAAGCAGAAGTATCTTCTTTAAAACTTTTCTTGACAATACCCAAATGTACAGTTTTTCCTCTCTATACAATACAATACTATAAATCAGGGGTGTCCAACCTTGGTAACGTTAAGCCTGGAGGACTTCAACTCCCAGAATTCCCCAGCCAGCTTTGCAAAGCTGGCTGGGGAATTCTGG